TGGCTGACCTCCAATATGCAAGTAAATTGATTATTAATTTTAATTGAGTATTAATATATTTAATATCAAGTCTATATTTATCTACTTGAGAGGTACCTTTAAATTTAATACAGTCATTTCATCTACATCAACTCCAACAGTAAATAAAATTAATGTATTAGTAACATATACAATTCCAATTCGTTCGTATAAGGCAATTGTAATCTACACTAAAATACTATATATGGAAAGCCGTGCTGCAGAGTTGCCTATTTGTGCATGCTACGTTTTTAAGTAATAAGATACAGTTATCTCGGTGAAGAATTGCTACACCAATGTTATGAATAACATGCTCTTCCTGCTACACGCTGCATTCCTATTGTTAGGTTTACTTTATCAGGATTAAATGAAACCAAGTCACCGCCATGCAAGTGAATTCCCGTTTAAACAGAAAACAGCCACCTACCAACTCACTCAAGGGCTTTCAAGACAACCCATGATTAAAACAGCAACAGACAGCAGGTCGCGCAAAACACCCCTTTTCGTTACCACGTGCCGGTATTATCTTCTCACCGAATACTACTGAAACTTCAAGCCGGATTAATTTTACACAAGGCCCATGAAAGCTGAAGGTTTGTATTTGGTGGAGCTGCAGGGCTCCTCCTTCCTCTCCTCCCCTCCCCACGTGCCGCTCAACTCCACATTTCCTGCGAATTTGGCTACCCCGCGCTGCAACGATCCCACTCTTGTCTCTAGGCTGCTCTTCAACCCGGTAAATTATGACCACCTCGGGTTGCTTGATGGATTAAATCCGTGGTAAGAAACTAACGTCAACACTGTTTGCCAATTTGTATCGTGCAGCTAGCATACCAAGAAACATAGCACAATACTCCACCAAAAGGAAATGGGAAAGGTCCTGAAAAACAGGTGCTTTGCTTGCCAGCCTCTCAGAATAAAAATGTACTAATAGCGGGAAGAAGTCGTATGCAAACACGTATATGACCGAATACGGCCGCCCCTCCCCGGTAAATATTTATATACAGACGTTCAAAGGCTTGGTGGCTCAACCTGCTACTGACAAAGCAACCAGCTACTTCACCTGCAGCTGGTTCCAAGAATACAACGAGGGGCCGACTCTAGCGGGTATTTATACCGAAACAGTACTGAGACCCTTGCTTTGACCCAGCCAGTCTCCCAGCCAGAGGTTGCAGGGGTGATTCCACACCAACACACAAGGAAGAGAGCGGGCGAGCGTCCTGCGCCAAAACCTCTCCTGGGCACCCGGCTGCGGCCCCCTGAAGCAGGCAAGGACCAGGGGAGGACAACGGTGAGCGTGGCGGAGGCATTTCTCCCGGGACACCGGTCTGGGGAGGCACAGAGTCTCCTAGCGTGACAATGAGGGCAGGACGCGGTTGTCCACCCCACGAGCCTTGCGCCAGTGACCTTCACTTGCTGACGAGACAGAGCTACGTTCTGCCTTCTTCTGAAGCCAAGAGAGAGGCCACAGACTCCAGAATATTTTTAGCATGTGTCCATGTGACGCTAACTGCTATTCAGCCAGCTAGGAAGAGATTTAAGTATCAGTCAAGTCACATCCACCTTTAGCTCCTTCTTGAGGGCATTACCGGTGCCTCCTGGTAGGTCTTCTCCTGCCAACCTGCAAAGGGCAAATTACCGCCCTGAGACAACTCTTGGCATCAGGCTTTCAAGAGCCACTGCTCTGCTTTGACATAGATCAGCCACAGGAAAACACAGGACTGAAGTATGAAGAGCTGACAAGGCTACCCCTACTGTATTTTTATTTTCTTATACAGCGTTTCTTCTTCTTTCCAACACCTCCACGTTATGCTCCTGCGAAGAGCGACCACAAAGAACTGCCTGCAAATCCCATGTGAGGTTTTTGTTGCTCACAGAAAGTTGAGGAAGAATTAAAACAATAATAACTAAAAAATCGTCCATGGCTATTATGTACCAAAGCTACCACCTGGAGATCAGGACGTTTCCACAGAGTTTCCAGCCACAGAGTGCTGACGTAGAAGTAGAGTAGCAGCAGACTACTCGGGGGAAACAGGACCTGCCCAGATCTCTGCCTTCTCCCAAGGCATCTCATCCCATCCAAGCATCTCATTCCCCCTGAGCCACATGGGCATGGCCTTTCACATCGAGCCCCCTATGAGGTTGGCCTGGTGTGAGGACAGCCCAGCTCCCAAGCTCTGAAGTCCTGCTGCTCCCAAGAAAAACCCAGGATTATCCAACGCAGGACGCAGAGGCCACAGGGAGAGCAGGGCAGAGGGATCACGGGGAGAGGAGACGGAGCTGAAAGCTTCGAGCGACACCACCCTTGTTTAAAGACCCGCCAGAGCAACGGCGGGCATCTGCTTAGTCACAGCCCGCTGCTCCCGCACCCACTTGGCGAAAAGAGAAAAGACGCCTCTGCCGCTGGTATTTTGCGCGACACCGACTAGTAGGTCAGCAGGCCAGCGAGAAACGATCTCGCATGAAATCTATTGCAGCAGGTGCTGCGTGGCGGGCACCTTCCTCCGCAAGGAGAAGCTGCCGGGGCTGCCCTGAGCGCGGGGACAGCACCGCGGGTGCGGAGGACGAGGGCCTGGCTCATTCATGAACAATCGCCTCCGCTCCCATGTTTGCGTGTAGAAAACCATGACGTCAGCACCTTATAGCGTTGAGCCTATTAATTAATCCCCTAAAGAATGCCCCCTCGCCCACAAACATATCATGCAACGCCAGCTTAATCTTACCTTAAAATATATA